TGTTATGCTATATACAATAAATACATTTAATCCAAAAAGAAATTCATAGACTAAAATCAAAGGATGTAAAATAATATTCCATGCAACAGAGTGTGCAAAAAAGCAAGAGTACCTATCCTATTTTCAGACAAATAGCACTTCAAGACAATATTGATCACAAGAGAAAGAAAAGGTCACTACATATTGGTTCAGGAAAAAATTCAACAGAAAGAGATAATAATTATATATGCACCAAACACCGGCATCCTCAAATTCATAAAACAAACATTACTGGGCAAAAAAATATCTGATAAATATCAACACATTTAGCGGGAGACTTCAATTCCCCATTATTATAAAATGACAGATCAGTTAGAAAAAAAAAGCCACAAAGAAATATCAGATTTTAACCACACCTTGAAATAAATGTACTTTATCAATATCTATAGTGTTCTACCCAGCAATAAAAGAATGCACACTCTCAGAAGCACATGGAATTTTGTCCAAAATAGACCACATGCTAGCTCATAAATCAGACTTAAATAAACACAAAAAAGCAAAAATATTCTATGCATAATATCAGATCATAGTGCATTAAAACTAGAAATCAATAGCAAAAGAAACCACAAAAACTATGCAAACACATGGAGATTAAACAATACACTCTTTAATAATCAATGAGTCACAGCAGAAATCAAGGAAGATATTAGAAACTTTCTAAAAAGAAATGATAATGCTAGTACAACATACCAAAATCTATGTGACACAATCTAAACATTCCTAAGAAAGAAATTATACTGTGAATTTCCACATCAGAAAAACAGAGCAAGCCCAAATAACTTAATAATGCACCTCAAAGTTCTAGAAAAACAACTCCTTGATCCTTTCTACAGTTTTTTACTCTCGATTTCATTCATTTTTTTCTAATCTTTATAATTTCCCTACTTGTGCTAGCTTTGGATTTCTGTTGTTCTTGTTCTTGGGACATTCAGACATCTGATCGTGAAAAAGAGTCCAAAAATACACTGGAGGAAAGAGAGGCTCTTTAACAAATTGTGCTGGGAAAACTAGCTATCCACATGCCAAAAACTGAATCTAGACCCATATCTCTTTAACAATGAGTTAAACTAAAACCAAGGTAGATCAAAGATCTAAATACTAAAACAGAAACAGATTTGCTAGAAGATAAATTAGGTAAAATTTTTTAATACATAGGCATAAAAAGGGACTTTCTGAACAGAGCTCCAATTACACAAGAAATAACTTTAAGAATCAACAAATGGGATTATATCAAAGTAAGGAATATTCCACACAGCAAAGGAAACAAACCAACACAGTAAAGAGACAACCTATAGAATGGGAAATTTTTCTCTAGCTACTCCTCAGACAGAGGACTAATATCTAGAATATACAAAATACTAAAAAAAAATATAGTTCCCTAAATAGACGATCCAATCAAAAAATGGGTAATTGAAATGAATAGACACTTCCCAGAAGAAGTGAAAATGACACTTAAATACATGAAAAAATGTACATCTCTGGTTATTATAGAAATGCAAATTAAAACAACACTAAGATTTCATTTTACTCTAGAAAGAATAGCTATAATTAAGAATCAAATAAATGCTGGCAAGGCTACATTGTTGGTGGAAATGTAAACTAGTACAACCAATATGGAAATCAGTGTGGAGATTCTTCAAAAAACTAAAACTGAAATTCTAATTGACCTAGCTATTTCTATTCTATGAATCTTTCTGAAAGATTTAAAGGTATCATACTACAATGATATATTCATAGCCATATTTATAGCAGCAAAACTCACGAGAACTAAACCCTGAAGCAGTCTGTATTTCCATCAATAGATGAATAGGTAAGTAATATATGGTGTTTATACAAAAAGAGTACTACTTTGCTATAAAGAGAGATAAATTTGAGTCATTTTTAGGCAAATGTATACACCTTGAGACCCTAAAGTTAATTGAAATAATAATTGAGACACACATGCTTAAATATCACATCATTTCTTTGTATTAGAAAGTTAAATATATTAAAGAAAACAAAGGATAGGAAACAGGGTGGTACTTTGCAAATGAACATGGGACCAAGAGTTTGGGGGAGGAGAGGGTGAAGGGAGGGGAAGAGGATGTAAAAATAATTAAGGTGTATTATGTACATGAACCAAATCACAATCAGTGTGAACTGCAAACATGTACTAATATATTTTTTTAAACTCAGTACATTATTTCCTTCCGTCTGTAGGAATACAAGTGATAGATGCTATTAGCCTAGCATAATAATATCAAATATTTTAATTTTGAATATTATTAAGAATTTTTAAAATATAAGAGCTTCCTTTATTTAATGTTTATATAATATCTGCTATGTGCAAAGTACTGTTTTTAGTACTTTTTCAATATTAATCATTGGGACAACATTATATGGTACATATTGTTATCCCTATAGTTGATCCAAGTGAGGTCAGCAGAGGTTAACTAATTTGTTCAACTTTACCTAACTAGCATCAGATACTTTATTTCTATAAGATAGTGTGCCTCAGTTAGCTATTCTGAGCCTTTGCTAAACATGGCCAAAACAATCTCTCAAGGAAGGATCATAGAGAAGCATTGAGAGTGGATTCTCGGTGGCTTAAACAGTAAAATCCCTTTACAGTTTCATATTTCATTGTTCTCATTTTGGGTTGTTCTTCTTTTTGATCCCTAAGGACAATTTACAAGACCAGCATATGCCACTCCAAAATATACCCCTCAGGCACAATGATTATTTTGAGACCATTATTTGACAAACTACTGACAACCTAGGAGGAGATCTGAAAACAAAAGTCACTTTTTCATAGGGGAAATGTATATCAATAAAGGAAACCTCCATTTAAAAGTGTTTTCCTAACTTGTGAGGAAGAAGATGACACAACAGAGACTCTTCTCATGAAGGCTCTAAGATAAGTCTGCAAACAGACTTTACCTTTGTTTTGTGATTGTCTTGTTTATTTTATCTACACTTTCCTCTCCTGACATCCTTCTTTGTTTCAGGTTATTTAAGCCTGAACTCAAATCCATTCTGAAATTTGTTCATCCTCTGAATATCTCCCAAATATAAATATAAGTAAACCTTTGTTTTTCTATTGTTATTATGTCTTTTGTTACAGGGATCTCTCATAACTAAGAGCTATGATGATAGAGGAAAATTGTTTTATCCTCCCCAATAGTGAGAAGGGCACATTGTTCCCTGTCTAAATTTCTATCCAAGGATGACAGAATCAAACCTTTTTCTGCTTCCACATAACCAATGGAAGGTAGAATTAAAAAAAATATTGTGTACATATCAGTCATTTTAAAAAGGAAATAAAGAAAATTGAGGTGACAAAATAATAAGCTGACATACACATATATCTGATTCAAAAATGGCAGAATAACATCATATTCATAGGCCTTTTTTCATCTGGGTTTTATTTCCTTAGCTAGTCTCGCACGTCAAGGAATAAGCCCTCCTCACTACCGATTCTACTATATCACTAAAAGATTTTAAAGATTGGAATCACTTTATTCCTTTAATTTACCAATTGTCTATTTATAATCTATGAAAACAAAAAGAGATTTTTCCACTGTGACTTAATTAAGATCCTACCTTCAGTTTCATATGTAGGTTTTGAAACATACTTGTTTGGAAGAACTGTAGCTATATAAAAAAAACTCCATCTACCTAACTGTACTATATCCTCCATATTATAATATAATATTATGAATTGTACAAGAAGAAATATATATGTATACTAGTAACAAGATTTTACTATTACAAATTATTTTTATAATTAACTGAGAAATAATATTTATAATTTATATGTTTCTGCTTAAAATTTTAAAATAGATTCTCAGGAAAAAATCCAGCAATTTTATAAAGAAAGTAATTACTCAAAATCTACAATTAGAAAGCAAACATTATATCTACTAATGAATGTGTTGTATTTTCATTAAATATGTTCTCTAAAGTCATTTTATAATAAAATCTATAGTTCAGCAGACAAATTTGATGGGCATCATTTAAGCTTAAAAAACAAGACATCTCCAAGGGTTGAGGGCGTGAAGGGAGGGCTAGAAATGGGGAAAAAATAAGAAACAAGATGCATTATGTAAAGGTACAATTCCCAATGAGAAATGTAATTGTGTTGTATACCTACAATGTACCAACAAAAGAATTTAATACACCCCCCCCCCAACCGAGACAACTCTATCATTGTCTTTAAGGAATATATGACATAATTCGAATGTACTTTTGATTCTACAGAATTATATAAGCAACATTTTTGTACCCATTGATCAGCAAAATGGCAAATTTTCAATAGAATATCTTGCGTATGATTTAAAAAAGACTTTACAGCTCAGTGTGACATTTTACTTTTGCCTAGCTTAGCAATGTATTAATATATTCACTTTTATTTTCTAAATGTATAGATATTTCACAAGACTTAAATAATAGAAGATAGAAATAATTTAAAATTCTGAGAGTATGCATTAAAATGACCTTCACATTTAGATCTAATATTCTACTGGTTCCAACCAAAAAAGTAAAGAGAAACTGAGAGGTGAAATGTGGACAAACTCAAAAACTGCTTCCTTTAAAGACAAATGTCAATGAGATTCAAGCTCTCACTCACACAATAGAACTTTATATTCCTAAATCAATATGCCTTAAAATGTTTAAAGTAAAGAACAGAGGTTTTGTTTATAACTTCTCATGTTTTCTTAAACGGTCTTAAATTCGCAGTGACAGGTCTTGCCTACCTAATATTTGCAAGGTGTCAAACCAATGCTTGTAAATTCTGAGGAGTAAACAGATTTTTAAAACCATTTGAAAAACAATGATACAGAGAATAAAGAGCTCTTTACTATTATCAAAGACAAATTTTATTGATAATATAGGACTTTGTACATTTGTTTATTTTTAAAATGTAAAGAAACCCAAAGGGTTAGAAACAATATTTGCAAATCCAAATTGTGTAGACTTACTGGTACATGCCATAGAAGGTGGGTCTTTTTCAGCTCTGAAGTAGCCCTTATCACACTGACAGACAGAAGTAGCTTCCATGTAGGTTAAACTGTGTGGAGGGCATTTAGAACACTTTGTGTTTCCAGCAAATGCTTTATAGAATCCTGTTCTGCAAGCTGTAAAAACAGGAAAAAAATTCTTTTTAATTATTTTTCTAGAGGATTTTTTGCAACATATTTTAATTTATACATAGTTGGAGTCTAAAGAGTTCTATGTAACACATACACAGAAAAGTCAATATATGTGTTAATATTAATAAATCAAGTTAGCTGTTTGTGATGTTAAGTTTAACTGTCATGCCAGTTGGCTTGGAAACCTCGTAAGGGATTACAAAAGAACACTTTTGGGTGTGTTTGGGTAGATCCTAAAAGTATGACCATGAGATCTATATCTGATCCCTCTCTTCTTCCTCTTTGGCACTGTTCCCTTCTTCCTGTTTTCTGGCAACCATTAACTAAGCAACTTTGCTCCATCAAACCCTTCTGCCATGATGTTCCTGCTTCGAGCAAGCTTACCATGTACTGAATCCTCTGAAACTATTAGCCAAATAAGCCTCTTTTTAAAATTGCAGGTATTAGGTATTTTCTTTCAGCAAGAGGAAAGCTGACCAATATATGACTCAAAGTCAGTAAGAAAATTATGACATATTTTATCTGAAAATTTTAAAATTAGTGTAACTCAAGAACATACACATTCACCATACACACATTCACATAAACATGCACATAAACACACACAAATTATTAGTGCTTCATAAGTGTGAAGATGCCCATAACCGGCAGTACAAGAGATGGTTTTGTGTAGTTTTGGAAAATGGCATTAAAAGACACTGAATCACACTGTTAAACATGCAGTTTTATTCCATTTCTTTGTACTCAAGGACAAAGTTTCAGTTTCGTCTTGGTATATGTTTAGCACATTTATTAGTAACTAAATTTTCTTTAGTATACTGGACTGTATTATATTATGATGGTTTGTGTTTGCTTTTATAAAAATCTTAATAAATTATCTAAAAATTTAAGGGGAATTATTAATTCCTCATTGGAAAATTATATTAAGAGATGAGGTATCCCTTAAAAATGTATGGATAAGAATATCAACACATCTCTAACTTGTTGACAAATTAGCATTATATAGCTAATAAAAATGACTATATCATCAAAATATTTCCTCCAACCTATGGAAAACCTGAGCATATGAAAAAATATATAGTTAATCCTACTGATAGTTTCATAATTGGAAATATTCTTCAAAACATATGTAATTTCCAAATTTGATCTTAAGAGGTAGGTGCAAGACAACACACCATAAAATATTAATAAATCAAATACATGTTTTGTCAGTAAATGTTTTCTACTTAATTATGCAGTTTAAAATAACTGAATTCAGAATATTTAATAATTTCTCAAATAACTTTAAAAGTTGAACCTATCTAGAAAGTTAAGCAATATTTTTAAGCACTTGCAGTATTAAAAAATCTAATAAAGTAGTTAATTTATAAAGAATTAGGTCTAAATAAGGAGGTTATATTTGGAATAGTCCAGTGTTACTTCAAATATAAGCTATATATTACTATATTATTATAAAGGCATATAAAAAGAGCTAAGTATTTTATTCTCATTCTCTTTTTTTCATCAGTCATTTAAATTTTAGCCATAAACATTGTTTAGTTTATAAAATACCCTGTTTTTAACAACATTTTGTTGTGTAAAACGTTGCATTTTATTTATATTCTGTAGTAGCTAACACAAAAATTTAAGTAATGATGTCTTATCTGAAGGGGTTTCAACTTCTTTGTAGAAGTTTCTTGAATGCTTACAGTAAAGCTTGCTCTTGTCACAGGACCTCTTCTGCTCTAATCCAGCCAGTTATCTTCATAATTTCCTCCCTCTTTCCATCAAGTCTTAGTTCAAATGTCACCCTATCAATGAATTCTTCCCTGATCCCCTTTTCAGAATTCTAACTCCTGCTACATCACACCACAGTTTTTCACCTATTTGTATTTTTAGATTTAAAATGTTTCTGGTAGGAAGCAGATATTTACTTGGGTGTCATTATTTGTTTTGAATGTAATTTGACAATTTCTTATCTTTAATTGTGCTGTTTATATTAATTACATTAAATGGATTGTTCATATAGGCAGGCTTTAAGTCTTTTTTCCTATTTGCTTGTATTTATTCCATTGACTCTGTGATTTTCCATTTACCTTTTATTTTTCCTGCCTTCATACCTCTTATGGCATTCTTACCTCTTTGGTTGGTATATCAACAAAACCATGATGAAAGCTCATATGACCTGCATAGCTCTGCTGCAGAATAGCACTGTCCTCTCATACACTGTCTTGTGAAATCTAAATGCCTTGTCTTGTGTGGACTCTAAGATCTGTACTCATAACTCACAATCTCCAATCCCCAATTTTTAAAAATCAGGATCTTTCCTACCTTGCTACAGGCTAGGAATAGTCTCAAGATATTAAATTGGTACAGTTGTAGAAGTATGCTACTTTTTTTTATCATCTCTGCTATTTGGTGTCTCCTGTCTTAAAAAGGACTTTTTCATATATTTTGCACCTCTTTTTTAATTTCAGGTGTTATATATTGCTCCATTTTGGAGACAAATGAAAATCAGACTGCTGAGTCAGCCTAATCTCTTTTCTTTCCCTAATGGTCTTTTCCAGCTATTATACATTTATTTTATCTATTATATTTAGTTTCTCAAAGACATGCTTTAAACTTTTATTTCAAGGTACAATGAAAAAATTCTTCCATCAACCAGAATGTCCAAAGTGAAAGAGAAATACAAAAACAATTGTTTTTGGTGAGGATATGAAACAGTATGACCTGTCATATATTACTGGGAAAGTTTAAACTTTTTCTATTATTTTAAACACATATTTGGCGGTATCTCCTATAGATGAACATAGATATACCATTTCACAGAACAATTCCACATCTTGATATGTACTCAACAGAAATGTCCAAAGTGAAACTGGATTTTCTTACTGCTACAAGCCATACTAAGTTCCATTACCAAGTGAGTTATAATTCTTCTACATGATATTGATTTCCTGAAGTTGATATTCATAATCTGAAATTATGTTGGCATGCTGACCTTTCTCACTTGCTCTATCCTTGGTACAATAAACCTTCTCCTATGGTTTGGATCTAAAATGAAGTTGAAATGGGAACAAGAACTCTATTGGGAATTAAATCAGAGGCATTTATATTACATTCTGGCAAAGACTTTATCTATATTCTGTCCATGTCCTGAGATTTTGGAGATACTGAGTTTAAAGATGAACTAGTTTATTTGGCAGAGGAAATTCCAAGGCAGTAGAACATTCAGGTGGTGGCATGGGTATTACTGACTGCTTTTATCCAGATTTATAGTAAAATCTGGAGGAAAATCTGGCTAGAAAGATTTGAAAAGCTTGTAGTTTGGTCAGAAAAGTGGGTGTGTGTGTGTGTGGGGAGGGGGTAAAGTTGAGGCCAAGGCAGGTGTGGTTGCTTAAGAAATTAGTGTCAATAAAAAGAAGGCAATATTTTCCATCAGTATGATAGGAGAGATGTCTTGAAGGCATCTCAGAATTGACCAGACCCCATGCATAACAGGCATAAGGGAATAAAAGTATGAACTCTGAAATACTTTAAGATGAGACTCCTACGGATACCACTTCATTTAGGATTGACTAGGGAAGTATTTTCCTGAGTTCACCCATCCACACTATCAGAAGCCACTGCAGCCATGATTCTCAAGAAGGCTTGGATAGTGCTGGAGCTGGTAGAAGACCTTGGCATTGTCCATGTGATGGTGCTTTTGCAGGCATGCAACATGCAAGAGTTGCGGGGCCATAGAAGCTTGAAAGGCAGGTCTGGAAAGCCAGAAAATGTGTGAGGGAGTTTAAATCCCTGCCAGGATCCCTGAGAGGATGATGTATGAAGCTATGTAAGCGAGGCTGAAGCTGCAATGGAGAAGTTGGAAGTTGGAGATGCCAGGAACATGGAATATCTATGATCATGTAGTGGATATCAGGTCACCAACAGCTCCAGGACATGCCTAATCATTTTGTTTAGGAGTGGAAATCAGAACTCCTGATGCTCAGAATATGAACAGTGATACTCCCTTTTCCCTTTTTGTTTTCTCCTTAGCTCCTGCCCAGCCCTCAAGCAATCACAGGATGGTTGTGGAGGCCAGTAACAGGAGCCCATGGGAGACAGAATTCTTTTTCTGCTTAAATTCTTTTATTGGTACATTATAGGTCTACAATACATTTACATTTATCCTTGGGTGCTTGAACCTGTACATGATGTATCTTGGTTCTTAATTTTTCCCCATTACTTGTGTGCCCTTCCCTATTTACAAAGACTTTGTTTCCATTTTTTCCTTTTCTCATAATTTTTCCTTTCCCTTTCCCCTCCCACTTCCCCTACCCCTTTGGACCTTCTCTTCTTATTTCAAATTATTAATTATTCATTTTAATTTTTATTTACACTTGAGGACAAAAAGCCTTCCCTTCTGTTCACTGAAGCTGTGGTTCTCAGAGGGTCAGGTCAACCTCTATTACCTTCCTTATTCTCTCAGTAATCTTCATACTTGGTCCTAAATGCAGATCTAACTGGAAAAATACATAGAAGAGTATATAAAAACCTCATGTTTCAGCCAACAATTTTTTTTTTTTTGGTACTGGGAATCAAACTCGGGACCTTGGGATTGAGAGGCAGGTGGCGGAAACACCAAGCTAAATCCCTGGCCCTAGTAGCCAAGGATTTTTAAGGAAGAGACAAAGGAAGAAAGAAGAGACTAATACAGAAAGAAGGAAGTCTGGGAAAGCAATCCATAAACTTTTTTTTTTTATTAGTACATGTTTGTAGTACATAATGTTTACATTCCTTGTGTAGAATTGGTACATGAACATAATACATCTAACTTCCTGTTTTCATCCTCCTCCCTTTTCACTTCCTCCATCTATTGCTCCCCTTCGCATTTAAGAAAGATCTATCTCCCTACTTCCTATTATCTATCTTTTATTTTGCCCTTTATTTATATTTTAGGTTTCTCATAAAGAGAAACTATGTGATATTTAAGCTTGTATTTTACTGAACATCATAGTCTCAAG